CCTGGTGGCGGTTGTTCCTCGGACCTCGGACCGTTCCTCTCCTCCTTCCTGGTCTCTTTCCACCCCTGCCCTCTGGTGCCTTCTGGTCATACTGCTCCCCCCTCTGCATGCTCCTCCTGGTGGCTTCCCTGCTTGGTGGTTTCAACTCAGGTGTATCTCAGCCCTGCCCTCACACCCTGTCCTTTATGGTGACCCGGGTGGCCCTTAGGCACTTAGCGTTTCTAAAAGTGAACGGCTCATCTTCCCTCCCCCCCCTCCCCAATTCCCAAACCTTTTCTTCCTCCAACCTTCTTTGTGTAAATTGGGCGCCTCACTCATCCTTGATTCCTCCCTGCCGATTTTACCTTCTAAGTGCTCCTTAAATCTGTTGCCTCCTCTCCACCAGTGTCTTCATTCAGATCTTTATCAGCTCTCTTCTGCAACAGCCTCCTGTAGGCTTCTCTTTCTGCAGTGTTGTTTCTTTCAAATGTATCTTCAGTGTCGCCACCACCGTGCTCCATAGAAGACCAACCGAGCCGTGTCTTTTTCCCACTGAAACGACTCCTCATCCTCTATAGGCTGTGATCCAAGGTCCTTAGGGTGGCCTTCAGGGCCTCTCTCGCCTCCTTTTAGCCACTTCGTTCTTTGAACTTTGCTTTCCGGCCATACCAAACCGTGTGTCGTTCCCAGTGTATGCCTTACTGGGTCTTACCTCTGTGTCTTTAATCGTGCTCTTTGCTCTCTGGAAAGAAAGCCCTGTCCTCCTGCCCCCACCACCTGGCTTTTGCCTGCCTAATCCTTTTTCATCCTTTAGCAGAGTGATTTGTTTAATATTTTAGGAGTGATGGAAAACTTTGAATATGTGGTGAATACCTGAGAACCTCTCTTTGGAGAAAATGCATATAATCCCCAAATTTGCACATGATATCAGGTTTTTAACCCAAATTAAAACCTCCTTCAGTTAAGGTATTATCTTCTCCAGGAAAATCTGTCCTAACCCACTACAGACTGGTCTGGTCTTCCTTTTTCATATTCTTTTACCATACCATGTGCATATTTTGCTCACTGCATGTCCGATGTTACATTAAAATTACTGATTTAGTGTATTTGCCACTATACTTTGAGCTCCTTGAAGGTAATGACTATCTTGCTCATCTTTGTATCACCAGGACCTTGCACAGCACATGGGAATTATTACACACACAAAAATTAAGGTTGAATATTCCTAAAGAACAAACCGGCATTTAGCAAACAGCAAACATTTATGGAGAGCCTGCTATGTGCATGCATTGTGCTGGGCACTGTGGATTCACAAGACAAACATGATCCTTGTCCTCACCGAACTTACAATCTAATATCTAAAAAATAGTGTGTGTGTCTGTATGTACTTATTTTTTACTATGTGCAGTAAAAGAGTTAGCATGCTTCCACCTCTTCCCACCTCCCCTGTCATTCCTCCCCTCTATCACCAGCTTTTAGTTAATTATATTCTACTAGAGGCCCGGTGCACAAAATTCGTGCACTTGGGGGTGGGGGCGCCCTCAGCCCGGCCTTTGCCCTCTCGCAGTCCGGGACCCCTCACTCCTTACCACCCACCTGCTCGCTGCTCCTTAGCACCGCCACAGAGGTGGGAGAGGTCCCGCCACTGCCGTGATGCTCGCCAGCCATGAGCCCAGCTTCTGGCTGAGCAGCGCTCCCCCTGTGGGAGCGCACTGACCACCAGGGGGCAGCTCCTGAATTGAGTGTCTGCCTCCTGGTCAGTGTGCATCATAGTGACCTGTCGTTCTGCCGTTCGGACGATTTGCATATTTGGGTTTTATTATGTAGGATTATGATTTTAGTTCTAGTATTTCTTTCTATGTTTAAATATCCTTTGTACTTTTATATATCTCTATATAACTTTATACCCTTAAATGTTCTTTTACATCTCTTAGTTGACTTATCAGTTTTGATATTCTTTGGACTCATGTTATGAAAGATAAGTTAGTACATTGAAGCAACTTTATATCTTCCCTCCCCTTATGTTTATCCAGCATTAATAGTTACATTATTTCTAAGTTGGTTTTTTTACATATTATTTTTACTTATTTTTACATATTTTTAAGTTGTTTTCTACATGGGTCTGTGTTTTTAAAAATTTACCCTTGCCTCTAGTCTTTTTTTTCTGTGGTTTCCTAGTCATTTTGTAGTTACTGAAATTCCCTGGTTTTTCTTTCACTCCCCCTTTCCCTGTTCACACTTTGTACCTCACTGTCCCTGAGTAAAAGTAGCAAGGATATTAACAGCAACATTTATTGGTACTTAGTGTGTGCCTGGCGCATTTATTATTTGTTTTTCTTTTTCTTCTTTTTAATTTAGCTTATACAACTTTATCATCAATAAGTGTTTGATTTTTTAAAAAATTTCTCCCATCCCTGCTCTTCCCTCCCCTTTCTCAACCATCAGCTTGTTCTCTGTAACTGTGCGTCTGTTTCTGTTTTGTTTGTTCATTTGTTTCATTTAGAGTCCACATGTAAGTGAAATCATGACCATTCCTCCTCCTTCCCAGTCTCCTTCCATTCCTGCCCTCTAGTGTCTTCCTGTCATATTGCTCCCTCCCTCCACGTGTACTAGTAAGTGAAATGTATGGTATTTGCCTCTGTCTGACCTTTTATCTTAGCATAATACCTGTTAGGTCCATCCGTGTTGCAAATGGCAAGATTTCATTCTTTTTCTTGTTGAGTAATATGAGAGAGCGAGAGAGATCATCTTTATCCACTTATCTATTGATAGATACGTAGTTTACTTCCATATTTTGGCTATTACTGGTAATGCTACAATGAACATAAGGGTACATGTATCTTATAGAATTCGTGTTTTTGTTTTCTTCAGATAAATACCAAGAAGTGAAATTGCTGTGTCGTATGGCAGCTCTGTTTTTTATTTTTTGAGGACTCCCCATACTGTTTTCCGTAGTGGCTGCACCAATGTACAATCCCATCACTGTGCATGTGGGTTCCCTTTTTCCACATCTTCAACAACACTGTCGTTTCTTGATTTATTGATGGTGATCATTCTGATAGGTGTAAGCTGGTATCCCATTGTGGTTTTAATTTGCATTTCTCTGATGATAGTGATGTTGAGCATGTTTTCATATGTCTGTTGGCCATCTGTATGTACTCTTGGGATAAATGTCTATTCTGGTCCTTTGCCATTTTTTAATTGGATTGTATGGGGTTTTTTGGTATTAGATTTTATAAGGGCCTTATATATATTGCACATTAACCCCTAATTGGGTGTATCCTATCCCGTTGGTATGATGTCTTTTCATTTTGTTGATAATTTCCTTCACTGTGCAAAACTTTTTAGTTTGGTATTTTGATGTTTTGTTGAGAGTTTTTTTAAATCATAAATGGATATTGAATAAAAATGTATGTATTTAAATTAAACATTGAAAAAATGTATGGTAAGTGCTTTGATAGGGGAAGTAGGGATAGAATAGGGATCGTATAAAAAGAGCAACTTGTTTTTATTTGAGAGGAGGCCTTCCAGAGGTATATGGAGACCTGGAGGGTACGTAGGAGGGGACTGGAGAGAGTCTGCAAAGGTCTTAATATGAAGCAGTGTTGTGTCTAAGAGCCAGAGGCAGCTCCATGTGGCTGAAGCTAGGACTTCGGTGGGTAGGAGCAGCACAGCAAGAGGAGGAGTCTCCGTTAAACTGTGCCCAAGAGTTCGCCCTTGCTCCTCAATTCATTGGGAGGCATAAAGAATTTTATCCTTCAATAAAGTTCCTAGCCAGTGTAAGAAAAGAGGAGAGAGAGAGAGAGAGAGAGAGAGAGAGAGAGAGAGAAGAAGAAGAAGAAGAAGAAGAAGAAGGAGGAGGAGGAGGAGGAGGAGGAGGAGGAGGAGGAGGAGGAGGAGGAGGAGGGAGAAGAGAGAGAGAAAGGAGAGAGAGAGAGAGAGAGAAGGTTCTATTTACTAGTGGAAAACAAAGGAGGAGGGGGAGGAGGGGGAGGAGGGGGAAGAGAGAAAGGAGAGAGAGAGAGAGAGAGAAGGTTCTATTTACTAGTGGAAAACAAAGGAGGAGGAGGAGGAGGAGGAGGGGGAGGAGGGGGAGGAGGGGGAGGAGGAGGAAGAGAGAAAGGAGAGAGAGAGAGAGAGAAGGTTCTATTTACTAGTGGAAAACAAACCAGCTCCCGAGCACTGAGCAGAGCTGCCATGTGGCTACTGCCTCTGATGAACCAAACCGACAGAGTGGTATCATGCAATCGCTTGGATTTACATTGAGATGGAAGCCACTTTATATGGATTAGGAGGATGGTACAGAAGCTAAGAAGGCCCCACGAAGGAAAACATAAAAAATATCACTCTTTCTACTGCTTTTCTTGTCTTTTTTTTTAAATCTTAACTTCTTTCCCATGAAGTAGTTTGTTATTGTTTTTTAAATACTTGCAAACAGGGATCATCTGTAAAACAGCAAGTTTCACTGACTTTTTTTTTATTTGCTAATTTCTCTGGCTCATAAAAGGATTATCATTAAGATTACAGGAAAGCCCGACCGGTATGGCTCAGTGGTTGAGCGTTGACATATGAACCAGGAGGTCACTGTTCGATCCCTGTCAGGGCACATGCCCAGATTGCGGGTTCATTCCCAGTGAGGGTAAGGGGGGAGGGTGCAAGAGACAGCCAATCAATGATTCTCTCTCATCATTGATGTTTTTACCTCTCTCTCTTTCCCTTCCTCTCTGAAATCAATAAAATATATTTTTTAAAGGAAACTTAAAAAAAAGATTACAGGAAAAACATATACTTTAATTTTTGTCTAACTTAAAGCACATTCTAAAACATGGATAATTTCAAAGATTGAAGAGTATTTTAATATCTACTAATGTTGAGGATTTCAGTAAATAGATCTTTTATGAGTAGATCTCATCTTTAATAGCTGAAGTAAACTATTTAGCAGACCTTTTATCATAAATACTGTATATAAGGCATTTATCAAAAGATATGTATACTGACTTTCTATCTTCTTTTTCCTTCAGATACTTTTCTTTGGATTTGGGTGGCTTTTCTTCATGCGCCAACTGTTTAAGGACTATGAGGTGAGAAGAGATCATTTTGATGATGCTAATATTGTATGAATTTAAATTGTTTTAAAATGGGGCAGAAAGAATACCTCCCTTAAAAAAAAGATCATGTTAAATAAACCAGACAGAGAAAGGTTAAAAAAAAAAAAAAAAAAAAAGAAAGAAAGAAAGTCATGTTCACTTCCAAGATAGAAGTTTTTGTCAAATGAGCCCTATGTAATTCTTAACTTGGAGAATATGATTAGGCTTAGTTGGCTTTTTGTTTGTTTGTTTTTTAAGCAAGTCGTGTATATAGCCAAGAAGCCAGGAACAAGAAATGCCACGCCTTGGTGACATCAGTGTGCACACCCAAAGCAAACAGTTATTCTTTGGGAGAGAATTTAACTTATGTCTCATAAATGTTCCTGTTCATTTGGGTATCTGACCTTCAGTATTAATGACCAATCTTACCTCCTAAATTAATACCAAAATCATTGAATCCAGAAAAATACCAACCTCGACTGGACTTTTCCTAATCGATCCTCCCCGTTTAGTGAAAGCTCCATGGTTACAGACTACTTTGAGGTCACTCCTAGGCTGTTCTCCAATAAACTTCCCTAGGGAGATGGGGCTATTGTCTGAAAGAGCCCGGGATTCTAGAGTTTCTAGAGTTTCTGTTCTGCTCAAGACTTTAAGGCCTCCCAGGGGAGGGTCCAGAACTGGCCCAAGGTCTGCAGAGCATTGGAGAAACCCTTTTAGCTCTAACCTTTGGACATGAATCTGCCATTTTGATTGTCCGTGTCAGGAATTCTAAGTGCCGCTGTGACCCTGTCACTTCACTTTCTTATCCTTACACTCCCCCTTCGCAGGAGGAGGATGGTAATAGTGACCCAGGATGCAGAAGTACACCTACTTCCTTTTTTTAATTTCTAGTTTATTTTTAATATATTTTACTGAAGTTATGTTAGGTAATAAAATTACATAGGTTTCAGTGTACAATTCTATAATACATCGTCTGTAAATTATATTGTGTGTTCACCACCCGAAGTCTACTTCTGTCGCTGTTTGTCCCCCTTTACCCTCTTCTACCTACCCCACCCCCCTTTTCTCTGGTAATCATCATACTGCTGTCTGTATCTATCAGGGTGGGGGGGGGGGCGGTTATTGCTTAATCCTTTTATCTATTTCACCCAGCCCCCCAACCCCTCTCCCCTCCGACAGCTGTCAGTTGTTCTCTGTATCTATGCATCTGTTTCTGTTTTGTTTGTTTATTTATTTTGGTCATTAGTTTCCACAAATAAGTGAAATCATATATTCATCTTTCTCTGCTGACTTAACTCACTTAGCATAGCGCTCTCCAGGTCCACCCATGCTGTCGCAAAGAGTAAGAGCTCCTTTTTATGGCTGAGTACTATCCCACTGTGTAGATGTACCACAGTTTTTTATCCACTCACCTACTGGTGGGCACTTTGGCTGCTTCCAAATCTTGGCTATTATAAATAGTGCCGCAATGAACATGGGTGTGCATATATTCTTTCAAATTAGTGTTTTGTGTTTCTTCAGATATATTCCCAGAAGTGGGATCACTGGGTCAAAAAGGAGTTCCATTTTTGATTTTTTTAAATTTATCTTCATTGTTGCAAGTATTACAGATGTCCCCCTCCCCCCCACCCCATTGACCCCCTGTACCCTGCTCCCATCCCCTCCCCCAGACCTTCACTGCACTATAATTTTTTGAGGAAACTCCATACTGTTTTCCACATGGTGCACCAATCTGCATTCCCATTACCTACTTTCATCTATTTCTTTAGCTCTAGGCAAGTTACTTTTGTGGCCCTCTTTCTAATGACTTGAGAATTTCTTCAAAATAAGTTTTCTGGCTTATAACCAGAAGATTATCAATTCAGTATTTCAAACAAGAAAATGACCCTTAGTCTCTGCTTGGCTTTTAACAGGTACGTCAGTATGTCGTACAGGTGATCTTCTCTGTGACTTTTGCGTTTTCTTGCACCATGTTTGAGCTCATCATCTTTGAAATCTTAGGCGTGCTGAATAGCAGGTGAGTAAGGGTATTAATGGGCTCTCCGCTTGAAGAGACCCGTGTGACTTTCTTTGCAGTAGATAACTGTCTTGGATCCCATAGCTGAAAAAATCCAACATGTGGGTAGTTTAGTCTCAGCGCTATAATAACACCAAATACGGGTGTCACCCACCTAGTAACTGGTTTGACAGAGATTGTGAAATAGCAGGGAAAAGTCTGACCATTAGCTCTGAGATATTAATTGAGAATAAGTTTCTAAGAGCCTCATCCTACCGAGGCTTCACTCCTAGAAGTTTTACTTCTTCTCAGCTGTTCCCTGACTGAATTCCCGTAACGGCCTTCCACATTGTGCTGGTGATTGAAAAATCTCTACTTGAGAAGATCAGAATTCCTCCAAGTTAAGGGTTTCTTTATTTTATTTTTTAATATATATTTTTATTGATTTCAGAGAGGGAGAGGGAGAGAGAGATAGAAACATCAGTGGTGAGAGAGAATCATGGATCGGCTGCCTCCTGCACACCCCCCACTGTGGATTGAGCCCGCAACCCAGGCATGTGTTGAGTACAGAGGCAGCCATCAATGTTTCACTCTCACACAAATGTTTCTCTCTCTCTCCCTCTCCCTTCTTCTCTCTCTAGAAATCTATTTAAAACTCTTTACAAAAATAAAAGAATGACTGGAAACAAGATTGAAAATAAAGGTGGGATGTTTTTGGCTGCAATGCTACAAATTAATTCATCCTTAGAGAACTTAGATCTGGGTGCCTGTGGTCTGGGAATGCAGAGTGTGATAGCACTTGCTACAGTCCTAACTCAGACAATTAAAGAAATAAACCTAAGCCGACCTGGACTGGAAGAGTCCACAGTATACGGGACTCACATGTCTGAAAAGGGGCTTCTGTCTAGGGTATATAAAAGTTCTTACAATTCAGTAATAAAAGGGCAAATAACACATCTGAAAAATGGACGAAGGATCTGGCTAAGCCTTTCTCCAAATAGATGAAAAGGCCAATAAGCACATGAAAAGATATTCCACAGCAGATCAAAGAAACCACAATGTGATACCACCTGACACCCACTGGGATGGCTATAATCAAAAAGACAGTAACGCCCTAGCCAGGTTTCTCAGTGGTTAGAGCATTGGCCTGTGGACTGGAGAGTCTCAGATTCAATTCTGATCAAGTGTGCGTATTTCAGTTGCAGGCTCAATCCCTGGTGCTAGTCAGGGGTGCACGTGGGAGGCAACCAATCTATGTTTCTCTCTCTGTCTCTTCCCTCCCTCTCTAAAAAAATCAGTGGAAAAAGTATCCTCGGAGGAGGATTAACACACACAAAAAAAAGACAGTAACAAGTGTAGGCAAAGCTACGGAGAAATTGGAACCCTCATACACTGCAGGGAGAATTAAAATGGTGCAGCCACTTTGGAGAACAGTGGTAGTCCTTAAAAAATTAAATACAGAGTTATCATATGACCCAGTAGTTCCACTCCTAGGTATTTAATAAAAATAAAAACATATATTAACACAAAAACTTATACAGAAATGTCCATAGCATCACGTTTATAATAGCTAAAAAGAAGAACAACCCAAATGTCCACCAGCTAATGAATGGATAAACAAAATGTGGTTTATCTGTACAATGGAATGAAAATTATCCAGCCATAAAAAGAAATGAAGTATTGATAGGTGCTACAGTATGGATAAACCTTGAAAAATTATGCTAACTGGCCCTGGCTGGTATTCTCAGTGGTTAGAGTGTTGGCCTATGCACCGAAGGGTCTCGGGTTCAGTTCCTGTCAAGGGCAAATCCCTGGGTTGCAGGTTCAATCCCCAACCCCAGTCAGAAAGCAAGTGGAAGCAACCAACTGATGTCTCATCAGTGTTTCTCTCTCTTTCCCCCTCCCTCCCTTCCACTCTCTGAAAAAAAAACCAATGGAAAGAATATCCTCGGGTGAGGATCAACAAACGAACAAACAAAAATTATGCTAAGTGAAGGAAACCAGTCACTAAAGACCTCATATTACACGATTCCATTTCTAATAAATGTTCAGAATAGCAAATCGGTATGGACAGAAAGTTTCCTGGGGCTGGGAAGGTGGTAAGAGGGAGTGACTGCTAATGGGTATAGGATTTCCTTGTGCAGAGTTGAAAATGCTTGACATTAATAGTGATGGTCACACAACTCTCTGAAGATACTAAAACCCATTGAATTGTACACTTTATTTTTTTTCTTAAATTTATTTTTAAATATATTTTTATTGATTTCAGAGAGGAAGGGAGAAGGAGAGAGAAATAGAAACATCAATGATGAGATAGAATCATTGATCGACTGCCTCCTGCACATACCACACTGGGGATCAAGCTCGCAGCGCAGGCATGTGCCCTGACTAGGAATCGAACTGTGACTTTTTGGTTTATGACCGATGCTTAACCACTGAGCCACACCGGCTGGGCAAATTGTACACTTTTTAAAAAAATATATTTTATTGATTTTTTACAGAGAGGAAGGGAGAGGGATAGACAGTTAGAAACATCGATGAGAGAGAAACATCGATCAGCTGCCTCCTGCACACCCCCTACTGGTGATGTGCCCGCAACCAAGGTACATGCCCTTGACCGGAATCGAACCTGGGACCCTTGAGTCCGCAGGCTGACACTCTATCCACTGAGCCAAACCAGTTAGGGCTGAATTGTACACTTTAAATGGTGAATTATGTCTCAATAAAATGATTATAAAAATTCTAAAATATTTTAATAAATAACATATTTAGGTGCAATAATAAAGTCATATAAATCAGATGTTTAGTTCTATACCCACAAGGTACAGAAGAAGTATTTCTGAGTCTTTATAGCACACATTACTATTAACATTTTTTTAATTCTCATATTAGAATAAGACTGCCAGTGGTGAGTGAGACAATAGTCATTGTGCCAGTAATAATATATGTTCATATAATTATTATACATTGTCTATGAATATAACTAGAACACTAACATTCTCATTTTAATAAGTGAAATGTTAAGAGGTTAAGATGATTATATATATACCTTCTGGAACTTTTTTTCTTCTCTCTATAAATGAGCAGGTAATAGCAGGCTAGTTGACTAGTTAGATGGGTATATTCAGTATTGAGTTCAAAGAGCAAGAGATCCTTGGAAGACTAACGAGAATGACAGCTGCTGCCCTTCCCTCCTAGTGACGGGCTTTGCCGTGTCTTGCAGCTCCCGTTACTTCCACTGGAAACTGAACCTGTGCGTCATTCTGCTGATCCTGGTCTTCCTGGTGCCTTTCTACATCGGCTATTTTATTGTGAGCAACATCCGCCTGTGTGAGTGTTTGACCCTCAGGAGCTGTTGTTTGGGGCCACCTCACACACAGCATCTTAAAGGGCTGGCACAAAATAAATATTGAGTGAACGGTTAGGTTATTTGTCCTGCCACAGTTCTGGTTCTGTCAGATCATCTCCCATAACTCAACCCACAGCTTAATTTTAGCCAAATTTCTCTTAAAGTGATAAGCATGCTTTCTCTAAAAATAACATTGTTCCATCGCTCATTTGCCAAGTGAACAAGCCAGCCAAATATTAATTAGTGTTATCCCATAGCTTTTAAGTAGAGCAAGCTCTTTAGCTTGTATCTATTTAACCTTAGTTTTGTCTCCTCTTTCTCAGTGCACAAACAGCGACTGCTTTTTTCCTGTCTCTTATGGCTGACTTTTATGTATTTCTTCTGGAAACTAGGAGATCCATTTCCCATTCTCAGCCCAAAACATGGTGAGTGTTGGGGGGAGAAGAGGAATGGGTTGTTTATAATTATCTGATACTGAAAAAAAATAATTTTTAAAAACTTGTGGTTGTGAGAAATATAGCAAATTAAGTCTCTAAAAGTTTTCTGGTTTTGAACCAAATTGTCCCTTCATCCTAGGAGGTGTCACATGCTGGTTTTTGGAACAGACTTCTTTCATTTCAGAATCGGAGTTTTTGACCTTAGAATAATGAATAAACTTCACGGGAGTAAGGAGTGGACAAAGGTCTCTTTAACTTCAATGTCCTGATACTCTATGTAGATTATGGGAATATATTTGTACGTGTATTTGGAGGTGGGATGTCCATAAGCTTTTACCAGGTTCCCAAAAGGGTCTGTGGCCAAAAGGACACTGCTAGAGTGAGGCTGAAGATTCTCTTCAGGGGGCATATGGATTTGGGGAAAGAGCAGTGAATAAAACACAATTTAGTGAAAGTAGAAAATTTTCTATGAAACAGTATCTCTCTTCACACAAGAAAGCTCATTTTAAATCCAGGAACAGGTCATGAACAGTCCTAATTTCTCTGCTAAAAACAAACAAAAATGTCTTGACTAACAAATTCCTCCAGGACTACTTCACAAATACATGTACAGATCTGTCTAAAATCCATTAGCTCACCTGTAATAAAAATACTAGAGCTTTCATACTGGAGCTTTTAAACTATATATATATAGCCATAGCCAGTAGCTCAGTGGTTAGAGCGTCAGCCTGCAGATGGAAGGGTCCTGGGTTCGATTCCGGTCAAGGGCCCAGGTTGCAGGCTCGATCCCCAGTAGGGGGTGTGCAGGAGGCAGCCGATCAATGATTCTCATCGTTGATGTTTCTGTCTCTCTCCCTTCCTCTCTGAAATCTATAAAATTATATTTTTAAAGAATTATATATATATTCATTTAACTTTTCTGCTCTATAAGATTCTTATGGCAAAAAAAACCCAAACAAACAAACAGAATCTAACTAATTTAAAGCAGAAAGGGTCTTATTACTGGGTTTTAGGGAGTTTATAGAATTTCTAGGAAAGTAGAGATGTGAAGAGAAGTATCATAAAAGTACCACAGGACTGAACCTGAAAAAAACCACTGAAGTTACCACCTGCCACTTAAGACTGTGACATCAGGGACTAGACAATAGAACCTGTGTCCCAGCTGCTCCAGCCCCCAAGCGCTGTTATTTTTCCTACAATAGTTATGAATGCATTTGAGGTTTCACATGGCAGGTGAATTTGATGCGGCCTCAGAAACATTCAGACCCTTGCCTTCAAGGAAGCCTAGGAAGAACCTTCGGCTTTCCTCCAGGTTCTGTAGCGTAAGGAAGTGCTAGGAAGGGGTTAGCATCATGAATGAACCAGGTCTAGCATCTGCCTCTCCCCCATGCATCCTTCCATGTCGCCTCGTTTCCTGTGCCAGGGATTTGGAAGAGAGGTTATGAGACGCTCCTGCAGGAGGAACAGAGGAAATGTACAGATTTTAAAGCATGTGCAACACCATAAACAACTGTATATTTTATAAACTATTTTGAAATGTTAAATAACATTAAAGAAGGCCAAAAAGTTAAGAAACACCAGCCTACCAAAAACATTCAAACTCAACATGGCATGCAAGACCCTCCGTGGCCTGACTGTCTCTGTGTCTGCCCTCCAGGCCTCCCAAACTACTGAAGTTTCTGGAGCTGCTCTGTCAGCCTGGACAACCCCTCCCCCCTGTCTACCTGGGAAATGCCGATTTATTCTCTCAATAGTCAACTCTCATCAGTTCCTTTAAGAAGATTTTCTTGGCCTTCATTAGGGAATATTAGTTGCTTCCATCTCAATGTACTTATATCACCTATAAAATTTATAATTACTTGTTTTCTGACTTCCTCATTCATCGATGAGTTCCCTGAGGTCAGAAACTACATCTTGTTTATCTTTGTATCTCTAGTGCCTAGGGAGGAACCTAGCACATAAGTGTTTATTACCTGTTTATTGAACCAGTGAATGAAAAAAAGTTTAAGTCTTGCCAAGGTAGTAGATGAACTTACTCACCTGTAAGTTCCCTGAGGCCAGAAACTACATCTTATTTTCTTTGTATCAGGAAAGTAACTATCACTCTGGATAGGGATTTGGGGTGTGATAATATGGTAAGGTGCCCATGTCGGTGTAGGGAAAGATGGAGAAGGGAGACCCTGATAATACAGCTCTCATATAAACTATATCAAATAAACCCACAGAGGCAAATTGTTTCAGATTTGTTTGTGATATTAGAAATGAGGGGCAAGAGCTATTAAAGGACCCCAGGGCTGCTTACATGATAGCACAAGGTCACATTCAGTCCAAACTGACGGAAGGACACCGTTCTCCAGCTTTTCCCTGTGAGCAGCCAGGCCTTGCCCCAAGGAAAGAGCAGACCATCATACCTCTTGGGCCTGAATCTATCCCTTTTTCTAAACTCTCTGGGAATATCCTGGAGAACACTGAGAGGAAGAGCTAGGGAGATCGTTTCCCTTTAGTCTTACCTTTGTGCTCCAGTAAGTGGGCATTTTGATTTTCTGTCCCAATGTCCAGGTGTCTAATTTATTTGGCCTGAAGAGAAGTAAGTTGGGAGGAAAGTTTAGGCAGTGGCTGGGGAGCAGCCAGCCCCGCACTGCTTGGAGCTTTCCCAGGACTGTGCGACGGCCAGTGCCGTTTATTGCTGTGGAAATCACACTACAACCGTCAGACCTACATGAAAACAGTCTGCAAAGTGCTCTAAGCAGAGCCTGGCTCTGGAGAAGTTGGACACTCCATAGGGAAAGAGGAAGAGACTGGGACAGCATGTGAAGCAAGAAAGCATCTGTGTGGGCAGATGTGACAGTGAATGGTCTGCAAGTTGCCTCATCTGTTGACTCCCCATTTATTAGCTGGAAAACAGGAAAGATGATGACGGTCCTTTACTTCATAGAAATGCTGATATAAGGAGATAGTATCTACAAAGTACTTTGAAAAAATATTCAAAGTACAGAAAAAATATTCAAGAAAGGGACATCACCTTAAGATAAAAGTAAAGGAGACATTTTTCCAATTCCTTATATTTAGTAACCTGTATTAATCCCTTGGATATTTTTCATGTTACTGGGTGATAACTACGTACCCAGAGTCAACAAATCTTTGTTTTCCTGGCTGCCTGGCACATGGAAAGTATTTAACAAATATCAGTCAGACATGACTCTTCTGTAAAGAAGATGCAAACTCAAGGGGTATACGGAAAGTAGAAGCGACAGAATTTGGGTGAGGATTTGTTCATTCATTCAATATTCCATAGCTATTTACTGAGTGCCCAGTTTATATTCTGTGCTGGAGATACAACCATGAACAAAACAAACTTGACCTCTGCCTTCTTGAAACTTCTAATCTGGCCGGAGGGACTAAACAGTAAAGAGATAAATATATAAACAGATATTTGCCAGTTGTGATCATTGTCACCGAGGAGCAGACAAGCAGCTCTGAGAGAGAAGAGTGAACAGAAGGATACCAGCTTTAATGCAAGTGTTAGAATCGGTCTTTCTATATTTAAACTGAGATCTAAAGGGCAAGACCAAAGGTCGGCCCAGCAGGAAGGCACAAAAGACATCATGTAAAGCTTCAAGGTGTGTTCCAGGGGGAATGAGAGACAGAATGAGAGCAGGGCACAGATTGTTAATGTTGGTGACTAGAGAGCTGATGGTGTCATTTCTAAGATAGGTCATCAGAAGAAGGCAGTTAACCGGAGCTTGGGATATGTTGAATTTGAGTTACCTGTGCACATCCAAGTGAGGTTCAGTAGGCAGTGGACACAGAGTCAGGAGCTTAGGAGAAAGACATGGGTTCATCAGTCCTCATGGAGCTAACGCCAGGAATCTAGAAAATTAGACATCTCAGCTAACTGCCCTTAGAGGAAGCTGGGCAAACGGGCGAGATCACCCACGGAAAATGTATAGACTGAAGTGAAAGAGAATTCTGGTCCTTTTGCAGAGCAAAAGGCCCAAAAGGGGGGCAGGGGGCGGAGGCAGCTAGAGAAATAAAAGGGAAAACTGAGGGAAATGGTCATATGAAAGCCATGAAAGGAAAATAATGTTCAATAGGAACAATTCCATTTCATAAAAGATCAGATCAAACAAGGATTGGAAAACGTCATTGAATTTTGCAGCCAGAAGAAAATTGATGACCATATTACAGGAATGGGAAGAGCCCGGGCTCTGGAACTAGGCATCTTGGGTTTGAGCCCGTCCTCTGCCACAGCTGCTGTGTGGCCTCCACTGAGTTATTTAACCCCTTTCTGCCTCCATCTCCTCACAAAGTGAGGGTTTCAGTAACATCTACTTCCGGGTTGTTGGGAGGAGTAAGTGGACTAATACAAGTGGAATGCTTAGAGCAGTACCAGGTACATAACAGGTGCCTCACGAATGTGACCTGTTACATTGCCATCACTATTATCAGTGAAAGCGGTTCACTCCGTGTGGAAGATTCGGACGGAGCTGGATTGCAGCCAGCTGAGTAATGAATGGAGGTGACAGGGAGTGTAAACGTCTCTCAAGAAGCTTGACTCTTCCGGGGAAAGGAGAGAAGATTGGTGACTAGAGGGAAACTCAAGACCACGGACAGATAATGCTTAGGAAAGAGATTTGAAACCGAAAGGAAAGAAGCAGCAAGGGATCCCAGAGAGAAGACAAGCAATGGAACAAGAGCCTGGGGAGGTTGGAAAGGGAAGAACAAAGGCACACGGAGAGAAGTCAGCTGTAAACACCGTGTTGTCCTGAGGGGGCCCGTGGGGAGGATGATTGCGGATGTAAATATTTAGAGTAGAGTAGAGGCAGTGCATGTCTGACAGCTCATTTCTTCTGTAATACGGGCATTAGCTCTGGAGATCAGGATTGGAAAATTGATTAGTGTCTGCTGAGGGAGTGGGAAGAGATGGCTGACCAAGGGCAAGAAAGGCCCTAGTCTGTACTGGCCCCAGCATCAGTGTGCTTTCCAGCAGCTTCAGGCAGCTCGGGGCGGCACCGGGAGGCAGGGCGTTGGGCTGGTTTAGGGCTGGGCATGCGGGACCAGTGCTTCAGGAGGGGAGGGGACTGAGTCCTGGGGAGAGGAGTGGAAGCAAGGAAGCCCGGAGCCCAGCTCGGGGAGGAAGGAAAGGGAAGACAGGGACGTCCTGAAGAGTTCTCAGGTGGTGTCATGGAAACCAAGGAACAAGGGACTCATACTGGAATTTTTTTTTGTTTTGTTTCAAAGCTAAGAGAATTTCTGAATAGCAGCTCTAACGTTTGGCCGTAGACGTAAATGGTTGAAGTGGATTCTATCCTGGAAATAGAAAGTGAAAAACAAATGAAAACTATTTTTTTTTCCTGTGAAACCAGATGTTCTGAGTTATTCTTCAACATTGCGTTCTCTCATTTATCCCAAATACATCAACAGCAGCATTTATTTTAACTACTGAGTTGATTTTCAGCACTGTCAAATAAGGAAGTAATTGATAATTAGAATACAGTCCATCATCTGAAATTCATGTCTTTGCCTTTGAATCACTTATTCATCCTTAAATTCAGCCCATTTTTAGGTGCATTATGTGTTTATTGGTGGTGAAAACGAATAACAGATAAGCTAGCTAAAGAGCTTATGACCTAAGAGGGAAGTATATGTATCACAGGTGGCTATAAATACCATAGATGACGCTGGGAAACGGTGAGAAAGTGCTGCCTCCTGTCTATACTCTCCCAGCACACTTACTCTTTGTTGTCTTTTTGTTTCTGTTTTTTATTTGTTCGTTTGTTTGTTTTTAATATATTTTTATTGATTTCAGAGAGGAAGGGAGGGAGAGATGGAAACATCAGTGATGAGAGAGACTCATTGATCGGCTGCCTCCTGCACGCCCCACACTGGGGATCTAGCCCGCAACCCTGGCATGAGCCCTGACTGGGAATCAAACCATGACCTTCTGGTTCATAGGTTGATACTCAACCACTGAGCCACACCGGCCGGGCAGTTTCCTTTTTTTTTTTTTTAATTTGCCAAGACTTTTACTGAAAGTACTTTGTGTTGTTAGAGTTCATACTACCTTGAATAAACAGTCAATAGTGTTATTTACAATTATTGTTGCTAATCTTACTTTATTATTACCATGACCCAATAATAGAGATGATTCTGGAAGCATATGAGATAAGAGGAAAATCAGTAGACATGTATTTATCATAGATCGTCTGATAGTAACAGCATCTGGCCTCTGTTGGTTAGTTCTGTGCGACGGTTGCCATGTTCAGTGATGTGTCCTCTGCGGGTGGAAGCCCTCGCTGTCACCTGGCATTAACGCGCTTGCGTGTTTTCAGGGATCCTGTCCATAGAGCAGCTCATCAGCCGGGTGGGTGTGATCGGCGTGACTCTCATGGCTCTGCTTTCGGGATTCGGTGCCGTCAACTGCCCATACACCTACATGTCCTACTTCCTCAGGTAATGAGAGCTCTGTCTCGTGTCTTTCCCCTTCGCTTCCTGAGCACAATGTCATCTCATGCCACCATCATCAACACTTAAATCTTAGGCCTATGCCTCTGCCTTTTCCTTCTCTCCTCTGTCCTTCTGGGCATTGACCTAGGAATCTTTCTAAATAAGTCTTATTACTTATATTGCTTGCCCTTATTTGTCCTACATTTATTTCTTTTAATGACAATTTCAGTTTGACCCTCTCCACCCCTTACTCACCGCACCCCTTTTTAAAGGCACAGTGAACAGTAATGTGAGCTAATCCCAACAAATTAGTTCCTCCCAAAAGTGGAACAGACATGTGCCAAGTTAAAAATGTGCTCACACATGCATCATAAATATCACTGGCTGAAAGCTAAGAAAGATCAATAGAGAACTAATTACTTTCCATTGTCCTGAGACCCTGGAAGTATTAGCTTTAGAAAATGACAACAAAAGCATTTTTGCTCATTTTCATTTCCTTAGAAAAAGACAGGTTCTTGAATTGCTGGGTAACAATTGAGGTGTATGTGTTTCTCCAGCTGCCTTGTGTTATGCCCAAGGACGGGACCTCAAAACATTGCTAGCAGTTTGTGCTTATTATAGGAATGTGACGGACGTAGACATCCTAGCCCTGGAACGGCGACTGCTCCAAACCATGGACATGATCATAAGCAAAAAGAAAAGGTAAGATATCAGCACATTAAAAACTTGTACTCTTAGATTTTCTCAACAAGAAATTTTACTATGAATTGGTGCTAACAGGGAATTTCATCTTACTCATTTCCATTATAAGTTAAAGCATCATCAAAGACAGTGTCTAGTCCTGCGTGAAAGAAAATTTTCAAGTACAGTCATATTTCCTGACTTTCGATCAATTCTCTTTTTTTAATTTTTTTTTATATATTTTATTGATTTTTTACAGAGAAGAAGGGAGAGGGATAGAGAGTTAGAAACATCGACGAGAGAGATCAATCAGCTGCCTCCTGCACGCCCCCCACTGGGGATGTGCCCGCAACCAGGGTACATGCCCTTGACCGGAATCGAACCCTGGACCCTTGAGTCCGCAGGCCGACGCTCTATCCACTGAGCCACACTGGTTCGGCTCGATCAGTTCTCTTGAGGTGAATTATTGGAATGACTTACGTTTGAAGGTATTCTGCATTGGATGTTCTAAAAGTCTGTTATCCGGAATGTTCACACACTGTTTCATGCCTGACTTCAACCTTTTCAACTTCCTTTCTCTTAACTACTTTAAAAAATTCTTCAGGTCTTCAACTATTGTTATTGTTTTTATCATTTTAAAAGCATGTTTAAAATGTATGTTTTCAAAGTGGAATTTCTGGGTAAAAGCATAAGCTCTAGACTCAGACTGTCTGAATCAAATCCTTGGCCTACAACTCACAATGACCTTAAACTAGTTACTTTATCTCCTTATGTCTTATAAAATGGAAATAATAATAATAATGAACTGACATGTAAAGGTCTTAGAACAATGAGTTATAACTCATAGCTAAGGAAAACTATTGAACTTATAATCTGCAGAATAATCATTTGGTTTTAATGCTTTGCCTTCATTTATTCATTCACATATTCATTCACTTAATAATTATAGAAGGCCTAGTTTATTCCGGGCACTGTACTAAATGCTGAATAGTACGTAGAAATCCAGAGGTGAACAGGATACTCAGTCTCCACCTTCATGAAGCATATTAGTCCACTGTCTTTATTCAAATTATTATTGCCCATGTAACAATGGTGACAGAGGTTTTAAACTGCATGAGTGGTTTTGCATTTCATGTTCCTTCCTTCAACACCTTTTTATAGTAAGACCCAAGGTCAAGTCAAAGAAGCCTTAATGTAAGAGATAACAATAGACATTCGAATGATAGAGGCCCAGATTCACCCACCAATTGCCTCCATTTCTATATATCTTTACTAGGATATTGAAAGCAGATACACATAGGTATACATTTATTTACTTAAATGTTTTGGGTTTTTTTTGTTGTTTGTTTGTTTTTTTTAAATATATTTTATTGATTTTTTACAGAGAAGAAGGGAGAGGGATAGAAAGTCAGAAACATCGATGAGAGAGATCGATCAGCTGCCTCCTGCATGCCCCACAGTGGGGACGTGCCTGCAACCAAGGTACATGCCCTTGACCAGAATCGAACCCGGGACCCTTGAATCCGCAGGCCGACGCTCTATCCACGAGCCAAACCGGTTCGGCAAATGTTTTGTTTTTATTTATTCTATACAGTTGATTTTACATGAATGAGTATGAATGCAGATTTTAAAAACAATAATAAAAGCAACAGTATTCAATAGTAAGAAACACTTATATAGAAACAGTACTATTTTGATTCCTAAGAACCTTCTCCCTTTTACTATATTTCTTTTTTCATACCGAGATGAATGTAAAGTCATTGCCCATGTCAGGTGTGGATGTGTACTTGTAAGCCACCTGATCACTAGTCATGGTGAGTCGTTGGCTCTGATGTACCCCTACTCACCTTGTCTAAGGATCTGGGATGGTGTGTGGCCCTGCGATAGGTCTTATTAATTTGAGTGGCTCTAGATGAATAAGTCTCCTAACTTGACCTAATTACCACAGCTAGGTACCCAGTGCAGCCAGCAGGGCAGACAGACAGCTAGCATGGTAATACTAGGACCCTGGGGCTTCATACAATGCCCTTGTTATTTACCAAAATATAGAAAAACCGTTTCACAAACACAGACTGTCTTCCAATTTAACAGCAGAGGGCCATAGTGAGGTGACATACAAGAAAAATAACATGTTAGAAACAAAAAGCTGATGGTTGAAAACGGAGACAGGAAAAAGGTACACTGTCTTCTCACATGGAACCTTGAATAGATGAGCTTTACAGTATTTAGGAACATTCATCAAAAACTAGTTCAGCCTTGAGCAGTGGTTAGAGCATCGACCCACCAAAGGGTCATGGGTTCGATTCCCAGTCAAGGGCATATACCTCAGTTGTACATTCAATCCCTGGCCCCAGTCAGGGTGTGAGTGGGAGGCAACCAATCGATGAGTCTCTCTCACATTGATGTTTCTCTCTCTCTCTCTCTCTCTCTCTCTCTCTCTCTCTCTCTCTCTCTCTCTCTCTCTCTCTCTCTCCCTTCCTGTCTCTCTTTAGTGTGACCATACTGGTATAGTGATCAAGCCTTTCAGCTTCCTTCTGCTTGAGAGAATTAGTGATTCGTTTTGCTTTGTCCTTCTGTTGACTTAGATATTAAAGCTTTTGTATTGGTAACCCATGATACAGCTGAAATATAGTCTCTATTCACAAACAATAATAGTACAATTTTGAAATTATGGTTTTGTAGAAGATAGAAAAATATAGCTGTGCAACTACACCATGGTATAATGAAAAGAACTTGAACTAAATCACATTCCTATTAACTTGTTAAGTGGTCTCGAGCAAATACTCATTTGTAAGATACTCATTTAGTCAATGCCAGGGCTGACTAAAGGGTCAGTAGGGTCCCTTTCTACCCACAAATTCTGAATTCACAGTATTTCACATAGCTTGTGACATACAAAAGAAACTAAAAACTATATCATGTAAAAGTTAGATGCAAGCTATTATTGTGAAAGAAAAATCTTAACCTCTATCCTTGATATTTTAGTCTCTCTTTTGAAAATGTGTAGTGATAGGGAAAAGATACATATTCACCTATGGAATGTCAACACCAGCCACAGCTGCTGTCAGACCATAGCAGAGGAGCCCGGCCGGCGTGGCTCAGTGGTTGAGCATCCACCTATGAACCAGGAGGTCACGGTTCGATTCCCAGTCAGGGCACATGCCCAGGTTGCAGGCTCAACCCCAGTGTGGGGCCCACCGGAGGCAGCTGATCAATGATGTTTCTATCTCTTTCTCCCTCTCCCTTCCTCTCTGAAATCAATAAAAATAAATAAAAACCATCATAGAGCCCTAACCGGTTTGGCTCAGTGGATAGAGCGTCAGCCTGCGGACTGAAGGGTCCCAGGTTCGATTCAGGTCAAGGGCATGTACCTTGGTTGTGGGCACATCGCCAGTAGGGCGTGTGTAGGAGGCAGCTGATCAATGTTTATCTCTCATCGATGTTTCTAACTCTCTCTCTCCCTTCCTCCCTAAAAAGAAATCAATAAAATATATTAAAAAATAAATTTTAAAAAATTAAAAAAAAATAAAAACCATCATAGAGGAAATTTCCAGGAATGGCACTATATAAAGATTTCAAGCAATTCCTTCAATAGAAAGCCATAAAAATTGTTAAAAACAAGTATTTGAAAGCCCTGGAAAATAAACAGACAGGCAGAAATTTGAGAAGGGTATCAGGTAACTGCCTGTGTGTGGCTTATTTGCCCAGGGGTGCTCTTCAGCCCCACCCACCTTCCCAGCATTCACTCACATGTACCGATTGATAGAGTTCAAATCAGCAAAGGGACTGGAAATCTAAAAGGAAATTTTTAGAAGCAAGAGAAATGCAGAAGGATAAGATCTAGAATCTACGTATAAACTCTGCCCAAATCTCTGCCTCATCATTAAAAAATATATATGCAAAGTAAACACCAGACGGCCCAAGAAAACACTAGAAGGGGGTCTACCCTTGACACAGATTTGCCGATCCACAAAGGTTACATGCTGTATGATTCTACTTATATAACATTTTTGAAATGACAGAATGGAAATGGAAAACAGAGTCGTGGTTGCCAGGGTTTAAGAGGGGCTGGAGGTGGGAGGAGGGAAGTGGGCTATACAGGGGCAGCATATAGCTGCCTTGACTGCATTGGTGTCAATGCCCTGGTTGTGATACTGTACTTTAAATTTGCAAGATGTTTCCATTGGGGAAAGCATGGGATCTATCTATATTATTTTACAACCACATGTGAATCTATAATTTTCTCAAAATAAAACGTTTAATTAAAAAAGAAAAGTATGCCCTGGCCGGTGTGGCTCAGTTGGTTGAACGTCATCCCATGCACTGAAAGGTTACCAATCCCATTCCCAGTCAGGGAACATGCCCAGGTTGTGGGTTCAATCCCAGGTTGGGGTGTGCCCAGGGGGAGGGGGGGCAACCAATTGTATATATATTGCCCCGCTGGAAGGGGGACATCCCGGGCTGCCAGAGGGATGTCTGACTGCCAGCTTAGGCCCGATCCCCCGGGGAGTGATCCCCCAAGGGGTCCCAGACTGCGAGAGGGCACAGGTCGGGCTGAGGGACCCCCCGAGTGCACAAATTTTTGTGCACTGGGCCTCTAGAGAGAGAGAGTGTGTGTATTTTTTTAAATTTTATTAAAATACAAAGAAAGGGAGGGAGGGAGGGAGGGAGAAAGAAAAGTAGCCTGGCTACCTGGCTAGGTGAGGGTGGCTTAGTTGTTTGTACACCAAAAAGGTTGCAAGTTCAGTTCCTAGTCAGGGCACAGACCTAGGTTTCAGGTTCAATCCCCTGTTGGGTGTCTACAGGAGGCAACCAATTGATGTTTCTCTCTCACATCTGTTTCTCTCTCTCTCCTCCCTCTCCCCCTCTCTCTTCTCCTCTCTGTAAAATCAATAAACATATCCTCAGGTAAGGGTTTAATAATAAATTTTAAAAGAAAAAGAAAAGCAATTGCTGACTTCCCACCAGAAATGGAGACCAGAGAACAGTATGGTAGCATATTTAAACCACAGGAAGCATTTTCAGCCTCTTCACTTTAAGACAACCACCAGACTGCAGCCCAGAGCTTATGTTTCTCCAGATGGTGGGTTTTTGAAAGACATTCGGGTAATAGTAGATATATTCTTGCTCCGGACCTGCCCCTGTTACAGAGAGACAATAGTGATGACGATCATGGTGGTGGTGGTGCCAGTGAAGAAAAGTTCAAGGTCAAAGTCAGCGGCGTCTATAGTACCTCATATTGGTTTTTATTCCTTTTACCACATCTCAGGGAGTTCGTTGTTCCTTTTTCTTTTTTGTATATATTAATATTTATTTTTTATATGCAACGTATTTAATAAAAGGAAGATCGGTTTAGAGGCCAATGATAAAAGTGAAAGTGATTGTTGAGAGCAAGGCCATGCTTGTCAGGGTGCAGCCAGCTCGCACTTCTAGGCCCTGCCTCTGCCTGTGGGGAGGCCCCAGTGCAGGGTCAGTCCCACTCACAGCCAGGCACTATGTTTGTTGTGCTGTAAACACTGGGACTAAGGAAACTAGAAATGGCTGTGTGCGCCCTCCCCCGCACTGCCTCCCTCAATCCAGCATGGTAAGCTGAAGTCACGTTCAAGTGGGTGAGACAGACCTTCTTCCTTATGTACGTACTTGCTCCAGCTTTTCCACCTATGAAAATGGGGAAACTATGGGTGAGGAGTCTTGTTAAGTCAGAAGCTCCCCAGGTCTGAGCCGCTTCTTGGTCATTAATTACACCTCCCAGCAATGCTGTTACAGTGGGTGTGTGTGTAATTAGGGAAAAGGCAGGAGGAGCCAAGTTGGAGCTATAGTCCATCCCAGGCAAAGGTCATTTTGAAGAATAGCTAAGTCAACGTGGCCAACACACCTCATGTTCTTTACTGTTAATGCCATTTTAACCAATAGCTTAAAAAATGTAGCCTATAGAACTCCCGTTTGGTATTTGGTGCCATTGGTATATTTGCATAAATACCAGCACTGCTGCTTCCTCCTCCGCACTTCTGTCTCCTGTCACCCAAAAATTGTTCTGAGTTAAATTTTTCTTTAGTTCTGCTACCTATTTGTATTAGACTCATGCTGGTTTATTTTAGGCTGGTAGGCTTTGACCCATTTATATACAAATGATCTTAGTTTTCCTCACAAAGACTGTTTTTTGTTGCTGTTTTTAAATATATTCTATTTAACAGAAGAAGGGAGAGAAAGACAGAAACATCAATAAGAGAATCCTTGATCGGCTGCCTTCTGCATGCCCCCTACTGGGGATCGAGCCCGCAACCCAGGGCATGTGCCCTTGATGGGAATCAAACCCAGGACCCTTCAGTCCGCAGGCCAAGGCTCTATCCACTGAGCCAAACCGGCTATGACCAAAGACCCTGTTCTTAATACCTATGTGGTGGGCTGGAACATGCCAGCAGCTCCCGCTGAGGCAGTGGGCTCGCTATAGACCTGGAGGGCACGAGGAAGGCAGAGGAAGTTTCCTGTTAACTGATTCAGCAGTGGGAGGAGATTGGAGTTAGAGGGAGAGTGATGATGTTTAGAAGAGTGGAGGTTTGTGTGGTAGTGCTGGCTTTTTCTTTTTGTGTCTGCTTTTGGAAAGAAACATTCTTTGCGTTCCTAGCCTGTGCCTGGCCCTTTAGTTAGGTGTGTTAGCTGTTACTCTCTTTTGGCCTGAAATGATAACAGTAATAGTTATTAATATGTGTACAACTTTGTAGTTGACCACATGAATTCATACATATTATTTCATTGGTCTTCACAACTCTCCATAGATGAGGAGATGAAAACTCTGAGGTCTCTCAGCGTCTGAATGGCAGACCAGTCCTCACGTGTGTTACCTACTCCCCGCTCCGTGGTCCTCACCTGGCACATCGCCCGGGTGCGCACTCCCCTCAGCCGCAAGCTGGGGAACCGGGGCTCCCGAGGGCCTCCCGCCCTGAGCACCTCAGCAGATGCAGGGGCGGGTCTGAGCCTAGTGGGTGGGAATGACTATGAGGGTTTATGCTTCCTTGCCGAGCTGTTTGTTGTTTGTTTGTTATTTGGGGATTTTGTTTGTTTTTCATTTCAGGATGGCAATGACCCGGAGAAGCATGTTCCAGAAGGGGGAGGTGCATAACAAGCCGTCGGGATTCTGGGGGGTGATAAAGAGCATCACCACTTCAGCTCCAGGAACTGAGAGTATCCTCTGTCCCTCTGCTGGATCCTTTTCCCAATTACATTTGACACTCAACATTATGGTGGTCTCAGGTGTGCACCATAGCGCTCAGACACGACCTGTGTGACTTACAGCATGGTCCTCCCTGTCAGTCTAGGACCCAAATGGCTCCATATTCTTTTTCTCAACTCCGGACCAAGGGCAAGAGGAAGAAGTAGTATTGGGATAGTCTCTCCCACGGCAGCTGACTGCATCCAGGGTCCAGCTGGCCAGGTACAGAGTCATCTTTCCAACACCCACAGGTGATCATCACATCATGGGCTGAAGGGTCCTAACAAGTGAGTCTTTCCATTTTACAGATGAGGAAGTAGACCAGAGGAAGTTGTCACGCAGTGGTTTGTGGCAAAGACAGAGTGGAACTGTGGTCTCCCTCTCTTGGCTCTTTCCGCTAAGCTGCCACTGTCCCAGCTCTGAGCAATGACGACAGAACGGAACGGCTCCCTAAGGGGGTGGTTTGTATATAAGACCAGAGGGGCCTGTTTCTTAAGCAATCAGTTTCCTAAACAACTTTTAAGCAGCTCTGTATCTCCAGTGACTTTTTGGTTTAAAAATCAAAGAGTTTGGGTTAATGGATTATTCTTGGCCCTGCTGGTTACAGTGTTAAACTAATTCCCAAAATGAGTGGCTAAATCTTGTGAGTCTCAGGCTTTTAGGTCAAAACTCTGGGGACCCAGGACTGAGGTAGCATAATGCTGCCTCTCTGCCTGGGGAAGCACACATTCCCTTTTGCTTCCACTGGAGGAAAAGGATGAGGCCTGTTCTTGTTATAAATTACTAAATGTCTTTCTGGAGTCAAATGCAGGTAAGAAGTAGACCAAAGGAAGGTAGGGTGATGAGAGGTGAGGGGAAGAAAGGATTATTTTAAATCCATTTAATCAAGAAACAGTTATTTCACATCTCCTGAAATGAATGCGGGGATACCGCCTCCCTCAAGGAACTTATGCCTAATCATGAGAGGAGCGGGCACGTTAACTAGTAAAACTCTATTGTTTGTTGGCAGCCACTGCTGAGGAAGGATCTGTAGGGCTGATCTGTGAAATCGGGAAAATCACAGAGGAAGGAAGATGTAGATTAAAGTCTATGCTGTGTCAGAAGGGCCGTCTTTACTATTCTTATTACATAAAAATCCATAAAAGCAGAAGTTGAGGATGAAGCTATCTTAGTGACAGTAAGTCAACTCAACAAAAGCATCAGGATTCTCTAACTTCTCTGAGCCCGTTTCCTAACTGGAGAGAGGAATAGCACGGCCTCGCTGATCTGGGAAGTGGCATAGTGTCATGGAAAGAGCAGGCCTGGAGCAGGACGGATCTGACTTTGCATCCATGCCTGCCAGCTGCGTGACTTTGAGCAACTTATTTGCCTCTGAGCTCTACTTTCCTTGTCTGCAAAATGGATAATAACACCTATCTTATGTGATTATTGTGAGAATAATAAAAGATCATGTCTCTAAAGAACGAAAGAAGGTCTATAAAATCCTAGGCTGTATTAAAAGTTAGTAAAGATTAACTCAGCTAGCGTAGCTCAGTGGTTGAGCATCAACCCAGTGATCCTATTTCTAGGAATATATCCTAAGAAACCCAAAACACCGATCAGAAAGAATGTCTGCGCCCCTATATTTACTGAAGCATTGTTTACAATGGCTGAGATCTGGAAACAGCCCAAGTGGCCATCAGTAGATGAGTGGATAAAAGCTGTGGTACATCCACACCAGGGAGCACTGTGCAGCTGTACAAAACGAACTCTTACCCGTGGAGACAGCGTGGAGGGGCCTGGAGAGCATTGTGCTAAGTGAAATGAGCCAGTCAGAGAAAGACAAGTATCACACGATCTCACTCATCTGTGGAATCTAATGAACAAAATGAACTGATGAGCAAAATAGATCCAGAGACATGGATGCATGGAACTGACTGACAGATTTCGGAGGGAAGGGGGTGGAGGGAGTCAGGAAGAGAATAACCAGAGAACTTGTATGCATATGTGCACAGCCCATGGACAGGGACAATAGTGTGCTGAAGGCCTGGGGTGGAGCAGGGGCGGGGTGCAGGGGAGCAAGGGGGGAGTGGGGGACTTCTGTAATAGTGACATAGCAGGAAATTGAAAATCTAGGCAGTTCCTAGAATCCACACCGTAGGAGAAACCAAAAACATGCTTTCTTCATGTCTGTTTCTTGAAACTTCTATGTGGTTTAAACCTTGATGCCCATTCTGTGCCAGACCTTACTCTGATTCAACAGGAAGTGGATGCTTTGGAAGAACTAAGCAGGCAGCTTTTTCTGGAAACAGCCGATCTACATGCTACCAAGGTACCGAGCAAGGGAACTGAAGTGTGCTTTTGTCAATGTGATCGACATGAGGACAAGACTGCATGGCTTTTTAGTGTCCTGTACAGCCAGTCAGTGCAGGAGACACTCCATAGCTTCAGTGTTAGTCATGAAGCATTGGAGTCTGCTCTCTCCGCAACATTGCTCCTCCCACTAGCAAAGCCCTTAATGGAATGCTCTCAATAATAGAAAGCAGTGGGGTAGTCAAAAGAGGCTTTTCAGCCGCTGGGAAGGTGGCGCACACCACTCCCCCTGACCCAGGATCCCGATGGCCACTCCTCTGATGGCTCTTTATTCCCTTACAAGTTAGTTATATTGTAAAAGCAAGAAGTGAACTAAGGACAAGAAGTAACTTTTCTATTTACGCCTAAAATGCAACACAATTTAAATATGCAAAAGTCTCTTCATTAAAGTTGTTCCAACTATTTTCATCCTTATTGAGGATCACTTCACAGGAGTAGCCCCATAGGAGAGAGGTGAACAGAAGCCTCAGGGACAGAGAGACCTGAGCCTAACTTCCCCTCCTCGCCAGCTAGACGGCCGGGGGCACGTTATTTAACCTCAAGTTTCAGTTATGAAGTTATTTAACCTCTAAGCTCCAGTTATGAAGATTAAAGTAGATAATGCATGTAAGATGTTTGTCTCGCTTTCTGGCTTAAAGTAGTAGTCAGTAAGTGTTGCCACTACTATTGTTTTTTTGATATTATTATTACCATGTGTGGTTTTTTTATTTAGCCTGAACAAGTAATGCATTTTTGTTATATATAAACTTACATTTTGCTGAGACTGACATGTTTTGTGTTTGTTTTCCCTCAGGAGAGAATAGAATACTCCAAAACTTTCAAGGGGAAATATTTTAATTTTCTGGGTTACTTTTTCTCTATTTACTGTGTTTGGAAAATTTTCATGGTAAGTATATTATTTTCACCTGTCAGAGTTCAGGTGCTCTTCCCTGGTAATGGCAGAAAGAGGAAAGAGGGTTTGATGGAGGCATGGAACTAAATTCCAGCCTAATCTTTCAAATCCGGTTGAGTCAACAGAGAAGGCGGTCTTTCACGTATTTGAGCCTCTCTTTTCCTTCTCCTTTTTAGCTCACCCGAAAAGGGAGGTTGCATTTTTCTTGTGTCAGAAATCAATAAGGTCTTAGATTATGAAGTGTATGAAGCAAACGTAAAAGTTTCTTACTTTCCACTCTGCTTTCCATATTACCCATGAGAATGTGACTAATTCAACTCCTAGCTGCAGCTCAGAGCAGAAACCCCTGTCCTTTAAATAATGTGTGTATACCTAAAAACTCAGTCCAAAGTAAATTCTAAAGTGTGCTTCTGTAGATAAATTCAGCCTGTGTGTCTATAGGTCTTATTCTGGTGTGGCTCTCTCCTAATGTGTATTCTGTATGGGCATTTTATGTACATTACTCAGCTTTACCTGTGGCTCACCTGCAGGTATTAATGGGTTTCAGTGCGAGTATAGAAAAGGCTGATTTGAGTTTCTGGTTTGGTAACCTTCCCACTGGCACTGTATTTGCACAGAGGAGCTTGTTAGTTCATTTTGATCAGTGTAGATGAAAGAAAGATTCTGGATTTAACGGATCTAATGTTAAAATAATTTGATGTCAGTGCCTATTCAGATGACTTTTTAAAATTTATTTTTATTGATTTTAGAACAGAAGGGGGAGAGAGAGAGAGAGAGAGAGAGAGAGAGAGAGAGAGAGAGAGAGAGAGAGAGAGAAACATTAATAATGAGAGAGAATCATTGATCTCCTGCCTCCTACACGCCCCACACTGGGTATCGAGCCAGGAACCCAGGCCTGTACCCTGACTGGGAATTGAACCGTAGCCTCGTGGTTCATAGTTCTAAACTCAACCACTGAGCCGCACCGGTTGGACTCAGGTGCCATTTTAAAATCTGATTCACTCAGTGGGAAAGGAGAGTGAAGATAGTGTCCAGTTAGCTGGGCTACGAAAGCTTTTTCCTGAGATGCAGCCTTCAGGGGAGCGTATCATGTTTTCTTTCTATTACCTTTGACAATTATGTTAGTTTCAGGTGGAAAGGGTAACAGTTATACGTTTATATAATTTGTAAAGTAACCCCTGGGAAGGCCAGTGCCCACCTGGCACCACACATGGTTGCCACACTATTAGTGACTGTATTCCCTGTGCTGTACTTCACGTCCTCATGGCTGTAACTGCCAATTTGTCCTTCATCCTTCCCCTTTTTAACTCAGCCCCCCAACCCCTCTCTCAAGTGGGAACATATTTTTTTAACAGTTTTATTGAGATATAATTGACATTCACTAAATGCACATATTTAAAGTGTACAGTTTGGTACATCTTAACAAATGTACGCCTATGCAGCAGCCATCACCACTATCAAGATAGCATATCCACCTACCACTGCCAGAAGTTTCCTTTTAGCCCTTCGTGATGCCCCTCTCCCACACCCCATCTCCGGGCAGCCACTGACCTGCTGTCATCCTACACTGATTTATCTTTTCTAGAACTTTCTACAAATGGAGTCTTATAGTATGTACACTTTTTCTGTCTGGCGTCTGTTACTCAGCATAATTATTTTAAGTTCCATCCACGTTATTGTGTGCATCGGTAGTTTATTCCTTGTTATGGCTGAGTTGTATTCCATAGTATAGGTATACCACAATTTGGTTCTCTCCTCTCCTGCTGGTGGAGATCTGTTTGTTTCCAGTTTGGAGATATTATAAGTAAAGCTGCTGTGAATATCTGTGTAGGAGTCTTTTCTCTTGGGAGAAAACAGCTGGGTCATATGGCAGATGTATGTTTAGCTTTTGAATAAACGGCCAAACTTGAACCATTTACATTCCCACCTGCAGTGTATGAGAGTTTCATTTACCCCACATCCTCACCAGCACCTCAGATGGTCAGTCCTTTGAACTTTGGACATTCTAATACAGCGGTCGCCAACCTTTCGGACCTCACCGGTTGGCGACCGCTGTTCTGATAGGTATGAGATGGTATTTAATTCACATTCCCTAAGGCCTAATTAGTTTGAACAACTTTTCATGTGCTTATTTGCCACCTGTTCATGTTCTTTGATGATATATCTATTCAAATTTTTGCCAGTTTTAAAATGTTTGTTTTCTTATAGTTGTATCAGTTTTTGCTTCAAGTATTTTAAAGCTATGTTATTAGGTACATACACATTTTAGAGTCATTATGAACCCTGAGTCAATGCCAAGAAGAATCGCTGCAGTATTGTAGGCAAAAGGTGGCCCAACAAAGTACTGATGGGGTGGTCATAATAATCTGGCCACTCAGTGTATATATTTTTTAATTCTTTTCCTTTTTAACCTATTTGCATTTTATATTTAAAGTGGGTTTCTTATAAGTAACATTGAGTTGGGTTTTGCTTTTTTATCCAGTCTGACCATCTCTGCCATTTACTTGGCACATTTAGACCAGCAGTCAGCCATCTGTAGCCCACAGGTGAAATCCAGCCACCACCTGCTTTTGTAAATAAAGTTTTATTGGAACACAGCCAAGCCTATTTGTCTACATATCATCTGTAGCTACTCTCATACTACAGCTACAGCATTTGCCAACCCCTGGTTTTGAGCATTTACATTTAATGTGGTTATTCATATGGTTTGCTTTAAAACAACCATAATACTACATGTGTTTTATTTGTCTCAACTGTTTTCTGCCCTTTTTCCTTTTTTTCTGCCTTCTTTTGGATTGACTTTTCTCAGGATTCCATTTGCTCTGCTTTGTTGGCGTGTTAGCTTTAACTGTCCTTTTATCTTAGCGGCTGCTTTTGGAGCACTCAGGAAATAACCACAGGGAGAGATCCTGGAGTTCCTTTATTCTCCTACCCTGGCTTCATCTCCCAGATGTTCCTTTCTGGCTCTGATAAATTCAGACGTATATGCCATAGCCCATTCCCCTGGTCTCTTTACAGAAAAGAAAGATAGGGACTTTTGTTTGTCTCTATGTGGATAGCCAAAGTAGATTTCTTATATCTGATTTAGATTGAGTCCAATTTCATTTTTAGGAACATCCAGCAGTGAGATTTGTTATGGTGATTAATTCATTATTTTGAGTCACCTTTTTGAAACAGTAGGTGATTACTGAAACGCTCTAATGTAAAGCTGTGTCTTTGCAGGCGACCATTAATATAGTTTTTGACAGAGTGGGGAAGACTGATCCTGTCACAAGGGGCATTGAGATCACTGTGAATTATCTGGGAATCCAATTTGATGTAAGTGTTGTATCAAGATCCTGGTTTGTTGTTTCTTTCTCTTTTATCTGCTATATGTTATAATTAAGATTCTAATTCCTTCCTACTTGATTCTGCTTTTGTTCTTCCTCCTCTCCTGTGTATGTTTTGACATGTTCATATGCAGATTTGTAAAAGGCATAGAACATAAGTAATGACTGGGACTTACTGTTGTTGTGGATGCGGGTTATGTCGAGTTCCGCCTCTGCTCCTCTGTAGCCAGCTACCACTCACCAGTTTCTCCCCACCAAATACTCAGATGCGTCTCTCGGTGAGATCTTCAAACACACAGCTCACCTTTGATTCCTCTGGTGGAATATTAACTACTAATTAGTGTTCTGTGCTAGAACTGAGATGATTTATACTGTAAAAATTATCTTGATCAGTTAATTAATGTGGACTGTGAGCTAAAGATGGTAACTGTAACCTGTGTACAATTTTTTTTTTTCATCTTTCTACCCGTTTTAGAATACCACCGTCACTGAATGCACTCTTGTCCTAATTTAAGTGTAACATCCTTATTTGTAGACTAGTATGTTTTCTAGGTACGTAGATGGCCAGTGATTCCGGCTGATCATAAGACCAGTGTTATGTGCCTGTCCCTTGAGGGCCTATTATCTGTGCTGATTCTCACCACAGACGGCATGCGGCCCCCAGCAGCCATCCCAGCTGGACACGCCCCGGTGGCTGGATAACATAAAACGAACCAGAGCACATTGAACTCCAGTCCTTAAGACAGCGTAGAGCACACTTTAAAAAATCGTGTTGATTGATTGATTTTAGGGAGTGAAGAAGGGAGGGGTGGGGGGCATCGATTTGCTGTCCACTTATTTGTGCATTCATTGGTTGATTCTTGTATGTGCCCTGACCAGGGACTGAACCCGCAACCTTGGCTAATTGGGATAATGTTCTAACCAACTGAGCTACCCAGCCAGGGCCAAAACACACATTTTGATAGACCAGTAGTGTATCCTTTTTCCTATGAAGGAGCGTGTCTCTTCAAGAATCACATAACTGATGCTGTGAAGTATGCTTCACTGGGTAGCATATGTGTTCTCCTCTTTTAAATTTCTCACCGGGCTGAATTTTTAGAAATGCTCTTATCAGTCTTCCCGAGGCTGTTCAGTTGCTGGTGTGTATCTACGTTCACCTGTAACTCACCTGCACACTCGCACTTCACAGTTCCGAATGACACCTGGCAGGGGCAGTAAGAGCATCGCCCCCTGCATCATGCATAGGGCCCTAAGCTGCCGCTCACTGGGAAACAGTCCAAGAGGAGAGAACGGTGTCATGTGATTCAGATGAAGGTCGACTATTTCCTAGACCATAGCTGAGAAGGTCTGTAATTCTTTTAAGAAAGAAAAGTTCCTTAATGTTTTGGGTGATCCGAGAACTATCATTCACAGATCGTAAAAGCAATCAAGCTGCTGTTTTGTTTCCTTTAGTCTGTGCTTTTCACTTTTCACATTGAAGCTATACATTACGCTTGTGTTTCTTCTGATTTATTCATGTTTTCATCACTTCACTGCACCTGGCTTTCTTCTGTCCTTACATCTTGATTCCGTCTGCTCATGAAGATGCCACGGCTGTCTTCCTCTTCCTGGAGGTGTTTTCCTTGCCACTGCTCTCTTCCCCACTTTGTTTTAATCAGACAAGGCCTCATGACGCTCCCTCTCACAGTCACATAAGCCATCGGTGCATCTTCTTTTTGGTTTGTTTTTGTTAATCCTCATCAGAGGATTTTTTCCCATTGATTTTTTTTTTTTTTTTTTAGAGAGAGAGAGAGAGTATAAGGGAGGGCAGGGGAGGGGAAGTGGCAGAGAGAGGGAGAAAGAGGGGGAGAGAGAGAGGGAGAGAGACATCAATGTGAGAGACACGTAGATTGGTTGCCTCCTACACGTGCCCCAATCTGGGCTGAGGATCAATCTGCAACCCAGGTATGTGCCCTTGACCAGGAATTGAATCTGCGACCCTTTGGTGCATGGGTCAGTGCTCTAACCACTGCTCAGTGCTCTAACCACCAGCCATGGCTAGAATGCATCTTTTTAATCTTCACATCTCTCTAAACAGGTATTTAACAGATTTATTCTTTCTATTTTGGTGGCAGGTGAAGTTCTGGTCCCAGCACATTTCCTTCATTCTGGTTGGAATAATCATTGTCACGTCTATCAGAGGACTGCTGATCACTCTTACCAAGGTATGTTCTATCACAGAGTCAGAAAAGTAATTCCTTAATTACAGGTGGCACCGTGAGATCATTTTACCTATTTAAGATTTCTGTCTTCTGAAATCTTAAACAACAGTCACAAATATTTAAAAGACAACAACAGCCCTGGCCCATGTGGTTCAGTTGGTTGGAGCGTTGTCCTGTGTACTTTGGTTCAATTCCATCAGGGCACATGCCCAGGTTTTAGGCTCAGTCACTGGTAAGGGTGTGTCGGGGAGGCAGCCAATCAATGTTTCTCTCTTGCTCACTCACGCTCTCTCCCTCTCCTTCTCCCTTTCTAAAAAAAATCAATAAAAAACATATTATAATAAATAAAAGACATACAACAGAATTTTTAAGACGTTAAACTGATACATAGATTGATGATGATGGACTTACATCATATAATCGGGTAACTACATTTACCAAAGGTCATAGAATGAGACCACGGTCTGTTTTGTTGACTGATATGTCAGCAGCATCTAGAACAGCACCTGGCATGTGGTAGGTGTTCAGCAGATAGTTGGAATGAATGAATGAGATGGGGGTTTGAGGTTAGAAGAATAACTGAGAGTCGCCTGTAAGGAGCCTGTGGAGGTGGGAGAAGCAGAATGTTCAACTGTGTTCTGATCAGCATCGGGAGGTAAATCCTCTGGGAAGAGGTAGGGACTTCAGACCCAGCTGTTGGAGTGAAAGGAGAGAAGAGGCTGAGAAAGGGGCGGAGACAGGGTCTCCAGGCATCTGGCACCAATTCTGAAAAGAGCTCTGAGCCCGGGAACAATGACAAGGGCCTGGGGTGACCTGTTTTGATGTTAAAGTCAGGTGATCACACAGCCTCTTAAAAGTTTGTTAGCCATTGTATCTATTATTGTTCAAAAGTTTATAATGGTCTCTATTATCCATGAATGAGTGAGATCATGTGCCATTGTAATCCTTTTGTGTTTCAATGTCGTACTTACACCCACAGCTAAGTCCTTTTCACTCCAAGTCTCTTCTTTACAGCCTTAATCATACACATTGTTCTGTACAGGATTAAGGCAGGGGGGTGACACCTTTGATTAAGTGTCAGCCACGCGCCTAATGTTCTGGACACGGGACACAGCAGCGCTGCATAAACTCCTCTCCCCTTTCTCGACAGTTCTTCTACGCCATCTCTAGCAGCAAGTCCTCCAACGTCATCGTCCTGCTGTTAGCACAGATAATGGTGAGTTGTAGAAACCAGCGTCATGTTTGCACCTGTAAAGTCCCAGACGTGTCTTATACTTTTAAATATTTAACCACGGCCTTTGACCCGTCCCTCACTACACGCAAAGTGACGTGTGGACTGGCCTGTTTGACTTCCAGGGCATGTACTTCGTCTCCTCGGTGCTGCTGATCCGCATGAGCATGCCCCTGGAGTACCGCACCATCATCACCGAAGTCCTGGGGGAGCTGCAGTTCAACTTCTACCACCGCTGGTTCGACGTGATCTTCCTGGTCAGCGCGCTCTCCAGCATCCTGTTCCTCTACTTGGCTCACAAGCAGGCACCAGAGAAGCATATGACCCCTTGAACTCACGGCTGTTGCAGACTGCGAACAGGCCAATGGTGTCCGCATTTAGATAGAACAAGGGAAAGTGGAGGGGACCGGGGCCTGGTATTTTTTATACAAACAAGATGCTGTGGTAGCCTCTTCCACCTGCAGCTATGCCTTCCTCTCAGACGACACGTTGATCGTGAGCCGCACTGGCTGGAGCGGAGAGCCAGGTAACTGAAGCTAGTGCTCCGCCGAGAGGTTCCTGTGGGTTTGAGGCTGGTGCAGCGTTGGGAGGGGGAGAAGTACACTGGAATCCGGGGTAAGCGAGTCCGCGGTAGCTGGCCACGCGTGGGGGGTTTCTGCTGAAGTCGCGGTTCACATGGAGGAAGTTTTGGCTTCCCTGAGATTGACTGTCATTAAAATCCGAGATTGTAAGTCTGACCTTAGCTTTATTTCATCAAGGACAGCTCCGTGTTTGCTTGTATGATCTCACATGAGTTAGCTACCCCTCCCCCCCCAATCCTTACCCCATTAAAATAACCAAGAGCTTGTCTGTTCTTTCCTGGGGTAGGATGGGGTGCAACTGAAAGAGATTCTACCAAGAGAGATTTCAAGGGTGCCATTTTTCCTGATTTCCTTTCACTTAATATCATGTAAGAGTGAATTATTCTACATTCAATTAAGTAATGATGGCTCATATTTTCTTCCCTTCTGCCCCTCATACTGTGGGTAAAACAATGAATAACTGCTAACTGGGATAAGTCACTTTTTTCTCCAACTCAATTTCTTCATCTGTAAAAGAAAGATATTGGAAAAGTTGTAGAACACTCAGAAATGCCATTTTAAAAAAATCCTTAATTTTACTACCAGGAAGTCTCTATTACTAAGGTCTTATTCTGAATTTTATTTTGTTTTTGGTTCCTAGAGGCAAAACAAAAATTAAAGCATGAAATGCTTACCAAAAACAAACACACTTCAGGTCAGATCATCTAACAGGGAAGGTTCAAGCAACTCAAAAGACATTTTTAATGGCATTTATTTTAGTAACCACACATTCTTTTAAAAGCATAATTTTAATAGGCAAACTCACGTCCTTTAATTAGCAGCTTCACATTTACAGATTTGTGAATCATCTTTGTGCTCAAGGAGCCCATAGAAGTAAGAGATACCATCATACAGAGAAATACAGTTAAGTTGAAGCTTGGAAGAGATTACATGAAAAGAATCTGGTCCCGCCTTAGCTTCTCCTAAGTTGACCATAAATAAGCCATCGGCAATAGGCACTCGAGACAAATGACAACAGAAAACAATTGCACGTGATGGGCCAGTTTCCAGAGCGTTTTTCGCCAGAGACGGCAGGTGGGTGGCCGCTCATCCCTTGGAACGGATTCCTATTAAATACCCAGAAACCGCGCTCAGCCACAGCCATTGTTCGTTCTCATCACATCCTTGTATCCTCAGAATTGGAAGAAGACTGCGAGGCTGTACTGTGGGCCTGTGCAAGAGAAGGCGAAGGGTCTGTGAGTGCTGGAGCGTGGACATAAGCCCGGGGGTAGGATCATGACTAGAAGCCAGGTGACCGACTTCTGCACTTGGCTTTGCTTTCAGCTTGCTGTCTGAAACCAATTTCCTTTCTGTAACTGACTCCCTGCAGAGATGTTATAGAATTCTTGAAAGACAACGAGAATACTTTCTCGTTAAGAAATCTACAATATGGTCAGTGGCTATTACGTGTGCCTTGTCTGAATATTTGTCTCTCCCCCAAATGCATATGGTGAAATCCTTATCCCCAAGGTGATAGAATGAGGGTATGGCCTGGCGGTGTGATAAAGTCAGGAGGGCAGAGCTGGGATTGTGCCCTTAAAAAAAGAGAGCCCCAGGGCTCCCCAGCTCCTGCCACCCTGAAGGGGCAGAACAAGAAGTCCGGGTCTGCAGCCTCGGAGAGGCCTGCATGGGCACCAATCTGCCGGCACCTGGAGCTTGGACTCCCCAGCCTCCAGAATTGTGAGAAACAAATGTCTGTTGTTTACAAAGCCACCCAGTGTATGGTATTTTGTTATAGTAGCCTAACCGGGCTACGACAGTGGGTGTTCCTTAAAAATTAGATTTTTGTATTACCAGTCGGAAGAATTACATTAATGTAATGAAAGAAAAATAGTATTAAACTTTAAGTCTTGGCTTTGCCAAATGTTTCCTTTAATGAACTTGGATAGGTCAGTTCACTCTTGGACCTCAAGTTCATCAATGAAAAGAAATTGGACAACAACAAAAACTGAGATTTACCAAGGAATTTATCTAATCTAAATACATACAGCATAGCGTTTGCTCTTCCCTAGTAATAAAACTTGAATACCTAGCAGTTATTTTAAAAACAACTCTGTCTCTAACCACCACCATTCCTTTTATGCTTACTGTGCACAGGGCACTAGCCAAACCACTTTAATAGTCTTAGTCAATATAATCCTGATAACAGTCCCACAAATTATCCTTGTTTTATAGGGGAGGCTACCAAGGCACAGAGAGAGTAAATCCATTTGCCCATAGCAGAAGCAGAATTTGTACATAAATAGTTTGATTCAAGTTCCATTCCCATTATAATTTTGATAAACTTATTTCTTGTCAACTCTCTGCTATGAAAAATAAGAAATTTGTTGTTCTTGTACTACATCCTTTCCCCTACAATAACTTGATTTGTCAGTTACCTTTACATGATCATTTTTAGTATTGTAGGAACTCTGTGGTAAACATGGACATGAGATGCACTTAGTTAAGGACTTTACCATATACTGGTAAGTTAGATCATTAAAAGAAATGTGTTAATAAAAAACAAACAAAATAAATAAATAAAAGGTTAATATACTACATGTCCTAAAAAAAGAAAAAAATGTGTTGCCCAGCTGGTGTTGCTCAGTGGTTGAGCATCGACCTATGAACCAGGAGGTCACGGTTCGATTTCCAGTCGGGGCACATGCCCGGATTGTGGGCTTGGTCCCCAGGGGTACCTGCAGGAGGCAGCTGATCAATGATTCTCTCTACCAATGTTTCTATCTCTCTCCCTCTCCCCTCCTCTCTGAAATCAATAAAAATATTTTTTTAAAAGCAAAGAAATGTGTCACTACTCACTCTTTCTTTTGCCACGTGTGAGTCGAGCTCTGACTCCACCCATGTTTCTTCTTTGGAATCAAGGGGTACATCCAGTGGGTCAGCCATGGAGGAAACGATAGGGATTTTCTTTGCCTGGAAATAATCGTAGGCCTTCTTTCCACAGACTAAGAGCGTGACATTCTCCCCACTGCTCTGGATTCTGTCTATCACCTTCTCATAGAGTTCGTCCAGCACATTCACCCCGTTCACCTCAATGATGACGTCCTCATCCTCTAGCCCCGCCAGCTGGGCAGGGCTGCCCTCCTGCACCTGTGAACAGAGGGTCGGAGTTGTCAAGTCCAGACACAGATTAGGGAACTAGCCTAGCTCCCTTCAGGGGAGATGAGGAGATGAGGATTTATTCCTCACTGTGTTGTGACTTCTCCTTGAGGCACAGAAGTCGAGGACAGTGCTCTAACGCTTTCTGCTTTGAAGGCTACAGCTTCTGTACTCCAATCAGTGGTGTTGCAGTGGTTGACTATTGTGTTATATGTCTTCTGGGTTAAAGGTATCAGACATCATAGGTCCCTTCTGCAGGCCCAGTGTGAGAGCTCTAAGGGCAGTCCTCTCCCTCAGGCCCTACAGCGAGAGGCATGCCCGTGCACAGAAGCAAGCAAGCATCCCCCTTCAGTGCTGATGGTGACTCACCTACAGTCATGCCAGCTCTACTTGATTTGAAAGTGCCCACAGATGACTGAGTGTAACAGATGTTAAGAAATGAAGGCTGTGAGCTTAGGATGTACTAAGCTATCTTAAAGGGGCCGGGACCATGACAGCAATTATTTGAACCCAAGTGAGACAGACGCTCAACGCCGGCCTTCATTGCACCCTTTTACTGAGCCATCCGTGAGTGGGAGAAGCCCGCCCTCCCGATGGTGACTGCGGTCACTGGGCTGCAGAACCAGGTTACCGTACCTCTTTGACAAATGGGCCTGGCTGACCCCGAATCGCATTTAAGTGGAAGCCGTAGCCATTGTCACCTTTAACCAGCCTGCACAGCTTAGGCTTGTGACCTGGACTTGAGCTGGCCAGAGGCGCAGGAACCAGGGCCTCCTTGACAGAACCGTTAGGCAGTTGTTGACTTTGATAGTAGAGAAATGGAGAAAAATGAGCCTTGGGAAAATAAAGGGGAAGAAGCATTAATTGTAAATATGAATAATTACACTATTAAATGTGCTGATTTATTTTATAAGGTGCATACATGTTCTGCTCTTCCAAATACATGATTGTGGGCTGAAAAATTTCTCGTTACTTCAACCAGGAAAGGGATAAAGGAAGACTGAGCTTTGTCATGGAGCAATGTGTATAAACATGTAAACAAATGCACATATCCATAAAATAAAGTGTTGTACAAGGATCCAAAAATAAGCCTAATGGAACTGCTGGTTTCTTCTGACTTGATGATAGTAAGCAAACCACTCAACCTTCGAGGGTTAGCGACTTGCCCTCTATCTCATGCAAGTTAGGTCCATCCGGCCTTCCCCTTCAGTAAGAACTTCGAAGCTCCTTAAACACGTAGAGAGAGTAATACAAGATGCTATATCGCATCCAAAGTACAGACAACAGTGAATTGGCGGAGGCAGCAATCATAGGGTCACATGGTTTCTCCCCCACTACCTCTCCAGCACTGTGATCTATTGTACTCTATTTTACTAGTTATTGTTGTGACCATTAGCTGACACTTCTGTTATGCCAAGCTCCTCACTCACTATCTTTATATATTTCTAATCCATTTCAACTCCCAGAACATCCATGCAAAGAAGGCAGTGATAGTCTTGAATATAGAAGAGGCATTAAACAGGGAACATATGACTGGTTTTATTATTATTATTTATTTATTTATTTATTGTTTTGCAGAAATAAGAGCCCAACCATTGTGGCTCAGTGTTTGAGTGTTGACCTATGAATCAGGAGGTCACAGTTCAATTCCCGGTCAGGGCACAAGCTCAAGTTACAAGCTCGATCCCCAATGTGAGGCGGAGGGTGAGGGTGTGCAGGAGGCAGCCAATCAATGATTCTCATCATTGATGTTCCTTCCTTTCCTTCCTTTCCTTCCTTTCCTTCCTTTCCTTCCTTTCTTTCCTTTCCTTTCTTTCCTTCCTTCCTTTCCTTTCCCTTCCTTCCTTCCTTCCTTCCTTCCTTCCTTCCTCCCTCCCTCCCTCCCTCCCTCCTCTCTCTCTCTCTCTCTCTCTCTCTCTCTCTCTCTCTCTCTCTCTCTCTCTCTTCCTCTCTGAAATCAATAAAAATATATTTAAAAAGAAGAAGATCTTAGCTGACTGGGTTTTAGTTGAGAGGATTAAAAGGCTAGATTTGGATATGCTGAGATCCTAGATCAGTAGTTAAATTGCTGCCCACAGGTGCCCAAGACATTTGTGAAGTGATGAGTGAAAAATGAAGCAATTGAAAGCGAGTACAAGTTGTGCTCTCCCCTAAGTCGTCCTGTTCCGCAGCCTGGCTGAAATTAGATTGGAGGGCTCCGTTACCATCTGTCTTACTAACCACAGGGCTTCCTTTCTAAACAGAGTAGCACCTCGTTTAGAACCTTTCAGTTACCCAGTTCAGCTAACTCCAGACCTCTCAGCGATATGCTTGCAAATTTTCTACATTTCTGTCCCTCTTCAAAATGTGGGAAATTATCAGTAACTCCTTACATGCAAAAATACCTTTGACATCACCACCCAAACAAGCAAACCAGTGGCAGCTAATCCTAGGCAAAGTACAATAACACAGAACAGTGAGTTTTTATTCTCATTCAGATATTTGGGTGTCTAGTATGTTACAGGAACTGATTAGGTGTTTGCTTTATTCACTGATAGATCTCAAACATCCAGCCCATGCAACTCACTTTGGGGGAAGAGGGAGGAAGAAGATGGGGACAGTCATCTTTATAGATCAAAGTTCTCTTTTTTAACCAAAACATTAAAATTATAGTGAACTCATTCTGTCATAAGATTAGAAGTTGGAAAGGATTCAATGCTAGAATCTGCTTTACAACAGCAAGAGCAGTGACCTTCTGACTTGACCTTTTCTACCAACTGGGACCTCTGCAGAAATGGCTTATCCTGTTCCCAGCAGCTTCAGTTGTCCTAAGCCAAAAGCTCGCTCCCTACAGCTTCTCTATCTGATCAAGCCACATCCCCTAGAACACCTCAAAAATAAGTCTGCTGCTTGTATATAATAGCCTTTCAAATTATTACAAGCTGTTTAACAGCCCTATCTAGGCTTTTACATGGGATGGTCTATAGCTTAAAATCCAATTGCTCCCTACTTAGGAGAGTTAGGGCTGCATCTGCCTATTTCCAGGCTACTGTTCATAGATTTTTCTCAGATCACCGAGAGTAATTCTGCAATTATATGCAAATTCTTTCAAAATCTTGAGTCTAAGGACTTAAAACTTATGTACCAATCACATGGCATTCTCTTATGCTGCCACTTTGAGCTTCAAAGCAGCCTTAATATGATCGTTGTATACTTTCCAGGTTGAAGATCAAAGTGGTCATTTAAACCCCCAAATAGAGACAATGTCCCAGCCAGTTGAGATCAGCCAGGCGCTCTCATCAGCTGACAATGAATACCAACGCTGACACGATGGGCTCACGAAGGGAGTAGCCAGGGTGGTAGAAACAAGCTATTCCTGGGCCAAACAGCATTGGCTAAAAATAGGGTAACTTAGCCAAAGCTGGAGGGCATTAGTGAGTGGACCCAACCTTGATGCATGAATACATGACCTTGTGTTACTTACCAGCCTGTACATGCTGTCCGTCTCTTTGTCTACTACCAACAGGGAAGTCTGATCTCCACTCTTCCTGATCATCTCCACCACGCTGTCATGATTGAGGGATTCCACAGACTCGCCGTTGACAGCAATTACCAGGTCATTGGCCTTCAAGCCAGCCTCCTCTGCTGGACTTCCAGAATCTATGTCTTTGATAAATTGACCTAACCATCCCCAAGACAATAAGTTATCAGAAAGACTCCTAAAAAAACTAGGATTTCCTGCCAGAGCCCAGGGCCCTAATAACATAAAGTAGGCATGCTGAGTCCAACTACTGTCCCTCCCACTGGCTCTGAAAAAGCCTGTAAGCCCCCTATGCAGTCTCATCCCCAGCTCAGGACTCGCTCCAGGAACAAACCCAGCCTATCAACCATGGAAGGGTCTTCAAGAAAAGAATCACGTTTTACTGAAAGTGTCTCAAACTCACTCTTGTCAAGAGAGCATGCTAAGCATTAAGGGTCAGCGAGTTCCCAGAAGTCAGTGGGCATACTTGTACCCATATGTCTTATGCCATAAAAAGGGGGGGAGGGGAGAGTGAAGAACAAACCCAAGAAATCAAACCCTAGGGAACCCAGCGTGACTGTGTCTGTGTGTGCACGCTAAGGCTGTGTCTGTAGCCTTTTCCTAACCTGAGCTGTCTTCCCCGGATGCCTCCATATTGCTCACACTTTTTTGGCCCTCGCACGGCTTTAACAAGTTTTCGTTTCACTTTTGCAGCTGGCTGTTGGCCCTCTCCAACTGGATATCCCGCAGATCCCTCCCAACGTAATCTATGCCCCAAGCCCCTCCTCTTGGTCACCTGTTGGCGGGAGCACCATCGTCCCGTCAGACACTTGACAACTGATTCTCCCTCAGCACCCACTCCCCGTATCTGATCACCGACTAAGTCCTTCGATGCCACTTTAATACCTTACTCTTTTCTTTGGTCCCACTTCCCCTACATGCAGTTTGTATTAATTAGTTCCTGTCTTGGATTCTGCCTAAACTGCTACTGCGCCTGGCCAGCTGCTCTC